GGGGAAAGGTAGATAGATCCGGACGGGGAAGGGAGGGGAACCGAGAGCGGGGCCGCGTGGAGTCGGGACTCAGGCAGGCCACGGGAACGGGAGGGAGGTGAGGGTTGGGGAGGGGGAGGGGGCGGGGGGACGTCCATCTTCATCTATCCGATGCGGTGCGTGCGTGGGCGCGTGAGCGCGAGCGTGACCGAGAGAGACAACCGACGAAGGTAGGGAGGGAGGGCGGACGGCTGGTGCTGGGTTTGGGGCTGCGGCTGGGCTCCCAGCGGTGGAGTTGGAGTTGCAACTTGCAACTTCCACCGCAGCGTGAGCGGGGCGAGATGTGCAGCTTCCCTCCATGAAGTTCCAGTTTCCCCTCTGGCTTCCCGGTATCCTGGGGCCGGGGATTGTTGTCCTCGGTCCCCTCCACGGTACTGTTCTTGGCTTTTTCTTTGCCTCCGCGAGTTCAACTGCTCTTCCTATATGGCTATAAATACTATAATATTTTTTTAATACGAACTGAAACGAGTGAACAAACACACTAAAACATGTCTGTATACATCTGATTTTGAAAGAAGTTAACAACATCTTATAATCACTCGCAAAAAAGAAAAACATCTTATAATTCAAAACGAAACAGAGAAAATACTACTCCCTCTGTCCCAAAATAATTTAGTACAAAGTTAAGTCACTTATTTTAGGATAGAGTGAGTATATTTTTGCAAAAAAACACATATATCTTTATAAAAACCGAAAAAGATAAAATCCGAACCACCTGAAAACCGTAAAAATCCGAACGACGTTGTTGCCGTCCTTTTTGAATCTGACGTCCGAATGCGCTGGCGTGGTTAGTTCACGATGAACCGTGTGTTCTCGTGTGCGCGTAGCCATCGCGCCGTGCGTCTCTAACTGACTTGTGTGGGTCCTTGTCGCACCGCACACTTCGCCCAATAGCGCACGATCTCCACATCCCTCTTTTCTCTGCCCGCATTCACCCCCTCTCTTCAGTTTCGCGACCGTGGGCAACTCAACATTGCTATGCCTCGCCTCTCAATCTCTCCTCCATCCGCGGTGATTCGGGGAGAAGCACGTTCTGGTTTTGCGGTGGACGGCGGTTGTTTGCCGGTGAGGTTCCTTCCCCATTCCCCTGTTTTGTGCAATGCTTTCCCCCCCTCCGTTCCGCAGCGGATCTGCGTTGTTGTGCTCCTCGTATCGGCCGATAGTGTAAGGTCATTCAACGGCAACGTTAGGATTGTGTGGACAGTTGCTAGCAGATCAAGTACGGGATGTGATTGATTCATGCGGATTTGGTCAGCGGGTGGGTGGTGTTGTTGTTTTGTGGCGGTTCCCCGTCGTTTTTTTGTGAGTTGTTGATTTTTGTAGATTTAATTTGGGGGTGCATTTCGGATTTGTTATGTGTGGTCCATGGATTTCATTTTGGCATGTGGTTTGGAATCTGCAGTAGGTGGTTTTTTAGAGTTTGAATTGTAAGTTGTATGTAGGTGGGGTTGTACACTAAATCCAGATTTGCCCCCTTGATGGTTTGTGTGACACATGTATTATGTGTTGTTGGTTAGGTTTCCATATTTTGTTCATGATTTGTGCCTTGTTCATGACCTGATAATTGCATGTTGTAAAATTAGGTCTCTATCCCCTTTGTTCATGATTACCTTGCTAGTTCTCTTGTTCCCATCATCTTTTACTGCTTAATACTACAGTCTCATAGTGCTTGAAATTACCAGGGCATAGTGCTTGCATTACCAGGCTATAGTGCTTGGAATTATATCAGAGTCATGGTTATGGGAATTACAAGAGTATATTGCTTAAATTTATCAGGGGCATAATGCTTGAATTACCAGTCTATAGTGCTTGAAATTATAAGGTCCTGGTTCTCAAAATTACCACGTGTGATGCTTCAAAATTACCGGGACCTGCAAGTTTATGTTTGATCACTTTTTTCATCATGTTCAGTCACCTAGTAGTTTTTATGTTAATAGTGTCATGGATGGTGCTTCTAATTCACCTGGACATTCAACCTTTTTGGCGTCATGTTTTTTTGTCACTATGATTTTTAATCTATGACAAATCTTCATATCCGACGTACCAAAACCACCATTCTGTTGTTGTTGTTGAAGGAAATATGCCCTAGAGGCAATAATAAAGTTGTTATTTATATTTCCTTATATCATGATAAATATTTATTATTCATGCTAGAATTGTATTAACCGGAAACCTAGTACATGTGTGAATACATAGACAAACAGAGTGTCACTAGTTTGCCTCTACTTGACTAGCTCGTTGAATCAATGATGGTTATGTTTCCTAACCATAGACATGAGTTGTAATTTGATTAACGGGATCACATCATTAGAGAATGATGTGATTGACTTGACCCATCCGTTAGCTTAGCACGATGATCGTTTAGTTTGTTGCTATTGCTTTCTTCATGACTTATACATGTTCCTATGACTATGAGATTATGCAACTCCCGAGTATCGGAGGAACACTTTGTGTGCTACCAAATGTCACAACGTAACTGGGTGATTATAAATGTGCTCTACAGGTGTCTCCGATGGTGCTTGTTGAGTTGGCATAGATCGAGATTAGGATTTGTCACTTCGATTGTCGGAGAGGTATCTCTGGGCCCTCTCGGTAATGCACATCACTATAAGCCTTGCAAGCATTGTGACTAATGAGTTAGTTGCGGGATGATGCATTACGGAATGAGTAAAGGGACTTGCCGGTAACGAGATTGAACTAGGTATGAGGATACCGACGATCGAATCTCGGGCAAGTAACATACCGATGACAAAGGGAACAACGTATGTTGTTATGCGGTTTGACCGATAAAGATCTTCGTGGAATATATAGGAGCCAATATGAGCATCCAGGTTCCGCTATTGGTTATTGACCAGAGACGAGTCTCGGTCATGTCTACATAGTTCTCGAACCCGTAGGGTCCGCACGCTTAACGTTCGGTGATGATCGGTATTATAAGTTTATGTGTTTTGATGTACCAAAGGTAGTTCGGAGTCCCGGATATGATCACGGACATGACAAGGAGTCTCGAAATGGTCGAGACATAAAGATCAATATATTGGACGACTATGTTTGGACTTCGGAAGGATTCCGGGCAAGTTCGGACAAATACCGGAGTACCGGGGGGTTACCGGAACCCCCAGGGAGTGTAATGTGCCTATTGGGCCTCAGTGGAGAAGAGGGGAGGCTAGGTCAGGCCGCGCACCCCCTCTCCCTCTAGTCCGAATTGGACAAGGAGGGGGGAGGGGCGGCGCCCCCCTTTCCTTCCCCCTCTCTCCTCCTTTCCTCTCTCTCCTCCTTCCCTCTCTCATCGTCATTGAAGCCTGGCTTTCGTTGAGTTCCTTTGTGTTGTCATCGTTAGGCTTGATGGCTCCTTCGATCATCAATAGCGATGCAGTCCAGGGTGAGACTTTTCTCTCCGGACAGATCTTTGTATTCGGCGGCTTCGCACCGCGGGCCAACTCGCTTGGCCATCTGGAGCAGATCGAGAGTTACGCCCCTGGCCACCAGGTCAGGTTTGGAAGCTTAAACTACAAGGCTGACATCCGCGGAGGCTTGATCTTCGACGGATTCGGGCCCCTGCCGAGTGCGCCGCACGGTCACGATGAGCATGATTTAGCTCTACCATCGGACAATATTCAGGAGACCGCACCGGCAACCGCTTCGACCCTTAATTCGGAGCCAATTGCGCCACCCATGGACGGGTGGATAGACCCCGCCACGGAGGCCGTATCCTCAGCGGCGATCGAGCCAAGTATCGACCTTACCCTTCACGGGAGCCGTGATGCCGAACTGCTGGATTCTTCCCCGGCCACGGGCTCCGAACCGCCTGCGCCCGTGCCTATCGAATCTGACTGGGCGCCGATCATGGAGTTCACCTCCGCGGATATCTTTCAGCACTCGCCCTTCGGCGACATACTGAACTCATTAAGGTCTCTCTCCTTGTCAGGAGAGTCCTGGCCAAACTATGTCTGGCAGGATTGGGATGCGGATGACGAAGAAATTCGCCGCCCACCCACCACCCACTTAGTAGCCACCATCGACGATTTGACCGACACGCTCGACTTCGACTCTGGAGACATCAACGGTATGGACGACGATGCAGGAGACGAACAGGAACCACTGCCCAAAGGGCACTGGACAGCCACCTCATCATATGATATATACATGGTGGACACACCCAAAGAAGGCAATGA